TTTGAAAATGGCAGAGGGAAACAGCAATGAAGAGGTGATTCACTTGAACAACTTTCACTGCCATCGGGGACAAGGTAAGTTGTTTGCTCTCACTTTGTCTCTTTCCCTGTGGCTTTTTATTTTAGTATCACAGCTCTGTCTTTTGAAATGATCCTATTTTGTACCATTTAGAATCCAGGGACATTTCATTTTTAGATATAAAAAGACTAGACTAGAATTATATCAGATAATGATATTGCTGGCATGAATGAAGTGTAAGACTCATTCATTACAACGAGATTAATAAGCTGTTAATTTGCTGGCAAGACACTGTTAATGTGCAGTCATTGAGTCTTAAGAGAGAGTGTCAGCATCAGTTTTTGAAGGCGTGATGATTATAAAGGAGTGCTCCACTAGGCCTTTATGACCTGAAATACTACAGATGATGCTGAACCAGTCTTGTCCTCCCATGATCCTTAATTTCTTTTTTGCCAGAATATTCTGGCTTTGAGGGGAATTTTGGAACATGTATTTTTTTGTTCTACAGTTTTGTTTTGTTTTGTTTTGTTTTTTCTTTTCTTTTTTTGAGACGGAATTTCGCTCGTTACCCGGCTGAAGTGCAATGGCGTAATCTTGGCTCATCACAACCTCCGCCTCCTCTGTTCAAGCGATTCTCCTGCCTCAGCCTCCCGAGTAGCTGGAATTACAGTCATGTGCCACTACGCCCTGCTAATTTTGTATTTTTAGTAGAGATGGGGTTTCTCCATATTGGTCAGGCTGGTCTTGATCTCCCGACCTCAGGTGATCCGCCCGCCTCAGCCTCCCAAAGTGCTGGGATTACAGGCATGAATCACTGCGCCCGGCCTGTTCTACAGTTATTAAAGTTTTGGGGAATTTTATTGATTTTTAAAGGGAATAGTGCTTGCTATTCTATAACATTCTTAAATGTGTATGAAATTTCCTGTTAAGTTCGAATTCACATTTACACTTGGGCTAAAAGGAAAAAATTCATGCTGAGGTGTAGAACCCTGATGTTCATTTTTTGCAATTATAAATTCCATGGGAGAGGTTATACTGGTTTTGTTTTCTCCCGTTGATAATATTTTGTGTTTACAAAGATGATTTTTCTAGTAGAGAGTAAATTACATTTGACTTTAGAAAAATGACTCCCCCAGGCCAGGCGTGGTGGCTCACACCTGTAATTCCAGCGCTTTGGGAGGCCGAGGCTGGTGGATCACGAGGTCAGGAGTTCAAGACCAGCCTGACCAACATGGTGAAACCCTGTCTCTACTAAAAAATACAAAAATTAGGTGGGCGTGGTGGTACATACGTGTAGTCCCAGCTACTTGGGAGGCTGAGGCAGGAGAATCGCTTGAACCTGGGTGGCAGAGGTTGTAGTGAGCCAAGATTGCGCCACTGCACTCCAGCCTGGGCGACAGAGCAAAGATTCCGTCTCAAAAAAAAAAAAAAAAAGAAGAAAAACGACTCCACCAAAACTTAAGTACAAATAGCCTACTGTTGATTGGAAGCCTTACTGATAACAGTCAACACATGTGTTATATATTGTATGTTTTGTATACTGTATTCTTATAATAAAGTGAACTACAGAAAAGAAGTGTTATTAAGAAAATCATAAGGAAGAGGAAGAGAATATAGTTGCTATTCCTTAAGTGGAAGTGGACCATTCTGAAGGTCTTCATCTTTATTATCCTCACATTGAGTAGGCTGGAGAGGAGGTGGAAGAAGAGGGGTTGGTCCTTGTTTTAGTTGGTTCTCCACTGGCTGTAAAGAAATGCCCAAGACTGGGTAATTTATAAATAAAGAGAAGAGGTTTAATTGGTTCACAATTCTGTAGGCTGTATAGGAAACATAGTGGCCTCTGCTTCTGGGGAGATCTTAGGAAACTTATAATCATGACAGAAGGAGAAGGGGAAGCAGGCTTGTCTCACATGGCTGGAGCAGGAATAAGAGGGATTGGGGAAGAGGTGCCACACACTTTTAAACAACCAGATCTCACAAGAACTCACTGTTGTAACCAGAGGGGATGGTGCTAAATCATTTATGAAATACCACCCCCATGATCCTATTACCTCCCACCAGGCCCCATCTCCAACATTGGGGATTACAGTTGAATATGAAATTTGGAGAGGGACACAGATCCAAACCATACTATTCTGCCCCAGCGCCTCCCAAATGTCTTGTCCTTCTCACATTGCTAAATACAATTATGCCTTCCCAACAGTCCCCAAAGTCTTAACTCATTCCAGCATTAACTCAAAAGTTCAGTCTTATCTGAGACAAGTCTAATCCCTTCCACCTATGAGCCTGTAAAGTCAAAAATAAGTTAGTTATTCCCAAGATACAATTGGGGGTACATACATTGAGTATATGCTCCTGTTCCAAAAGGGAGAAATTGGCCAAAAGAAAGGCGCGAGAGGTCCCACACAAGTTCAAAACCCAGTAGGGCAGTCATTAAATCTTAAAGGTCCAAAATAATCTCCTTTGACTCCACATCTCACATTCAGGGCACACTGGTGCAAGGGATAGGCTCCTGAAAGCCTTGTGCAGTTCTGCTGTTTTAGGAGTAACACAAGTGGAAGAAAATCTGCAAATAAGTGGACCCACACTGTTCAAATCAGTGTTGCTCAAGAGTCAACTGTGTATTTGGCTTTCAGAGCATTTAAAATTGAGCAAATTTTATTGGGTAAATAAGTCAAGAGTAACAAAATTGCTCAAGCTATGCAAATTATGAGTACAAAAGAAGGACTAATTTTCAGGGTTTTATTAATAGTGTATTCTAACTTGGTAGTGATTGTAACCATAATTTATTGGATTCAGGCAATTTTTAATCTTAGTTATAACTTGTATTTATGATCATTTCAAAATTTTCTGTACATGTATATCCAATTAATGTTGTAGTTGTTTTTTGTTTTTTAATTGGATCTTAAATATACTTGAACAGTTTCTTTAAGAACAACTAATTCCTTTTGGAAAATTACTGACTTTGGAGATGTGTTTTGTTAGACGAGTATGTTTACTCTGCACCCATCCTGAGAACTTTTTTCAGGTGTATAAAGTTTTGTTTTTATTAGCTGCATTAATTTTTTTTTTCTTTAAACAAGAGAGGGTCTCACAATGTTGCCTGGCAAAGCTAGTCTTGAACTGCTGGGCTCAAGTGATCCAATTGCCTCTGCCTTACGAAATGCTAGGATTACAGGGCATGAACCACTGCTCCTGGCCAACATTAGTAATTTTTATTATGCATCAACCTCTGTAGTTTTTTTTTTGAAGTGTATAGTTCAGTAAGTTTTGACAAATGAATATACCACCTCAATTACGATATAGAACATTTTCTGTCACTCCAAAAAGATTCCCTTGTGCCTCTTTGCAGTCAGTTCTTACCCCACTCCAGGCCTAAGGAAACTACTAATCTGCTTTTTTTCACTCTGTAATTTCATATAAATGGAATTATACATACTGTATATTTTCTTTGTACCTGAATTCTTTTGTGAAAGGTAATGTTTTAGGCCGGGCACGGTGGCTCAAGCCTGTAATCCCAGCACTTTGGGAGGCCGAGACGGGCGGATCACGAGGTCAGGAGATCGAGACCATCCTGGCTAACACGGTGAAACCCCGTCTCTACTAAAAAATACAAAAAACTAGCCGGGCGAGGTGGCGGGCGCCTGTAGTCCCAACTACTCGGGAGGCTGAGGCAGGAGAATGGCGTAAACCCGGGAGGCGGAGCTTGCAGTGAGCTGAGATCCGGCCACTGCACTCCAGCCTGGGCGGCAGAGCGACAAAAAAAAAAAAAAAAAAGGTAATGTTTTGAGATTCATCCCTGTTGTCGCATATATCAGTAATTCATTCCTTTTTTATTGCTAAGTAGTGTTTTTGCCTACTCATCTATGATTCTATACCTAGTGGAAATAGGCTTAAAAATGAAGGTAAAATAAAGATTTAAAAAGTTTTTGTCAGGAATGAAAAAAGGTACATCATGTATATGGCCACACACATACCCCCCCAAAAAAAGCTGATATATCTGTGTAATATCTGATAAAATTGATAGAAACTCCAGCCAGAAGCATTGATAGAGTTCATAATGATAAAAGTTTCAGTACACTGGGAAGATAAAATAGTGCTAATCCCTGTATGCTTTGTAACATGATAGAAAAATAAAGCAAAAATTGGCAAATCTAAAAACAGAGTTGGACAAATACACCATTATAGTGGGGATTTTTAAGACTTGTTTCAGTAACTGAAAGAGCAAGCACACACACACACTTGTATGAATATAGAAGATTGGAAGAACGCGGTCAAAAATGTAATAAACATAGGTGGGATTCTGCACCCAGTATAAGAAGAAATCACAATGAAAATTAGAAGATTATTTTGAATTACATGATAATGAAAATATAGCGTCTTATATTTATGAGATACATGTAATGCCATGTTTTGAAGAAAACTTGTGGCCTAAGATACATTAGACAAGAAGTAAAAAGCTCAGCCAGGTGCAGTGGCTCATGCTTGTAATCCCAGCACTTTGGAAGGCCAAAGTGGTAGGATAACTTGAGCCTAGGATTTTGAGACCGGCCTGGACAACATGGTGAGATTTCTATCTCTACAAAAAATTAAATATAAGACAATTAGCTGGGTATGGTGGTGTTGGGTTCACCAGGTCCCAGGTACTTCGGATACCAAGATGGGAGGATCACTTGATCCCAATAGGTCAAGGCTGCGGAGGACTGGGTTCATGCTATTGTACTCCAGCCTGGGCAACAGAGAGTGACCCTGTCGCAAAATAAAACAAAAAACAAAAACAAACCCAGCCTAGCCAACATGGGGAAACCCCATCTCTACTAAAAGTACAAAAATTAGCTGGGCATGATGTTGCAAGCCTGTAATCCCAGCTAATTGGGAGGCTGAGGCACGAGAATCGCTTGAACCCAGGAGGCAGAGGTTGCAGTGAGCCAATATAACTAGGGCTCAGCAAATTTAAAGAGTTAAGTTAATATTTTAGCCTTGCAGGCCATGTGGTTTCAGTTGCAACTATTCAACTATACCATTGTAGCATGAAAGCAACTGTGTTGGTCCACTTTCACACTGCTATGAAGAAATGCCTGAGACTGGGTAATTTATAAAGGAAAGGGGTTTAATTGACTCCCAGTTCCACATTGCTGGGAAGGCCTCTGGAAAATTACTATCATGGCAAAAGACAGAGGAGAAGCAGGCACCTTCTTAGGCAGGATAGAGTGAGTGCAAGCAGGGGAAATGTGAGTGCTTATAAAACCATCAGATACCTCAAGATTCACAATCATGGAAACAGAATGGGGGAAACTGTCCCCATGATCCGATTACCTCCACCTGGTCCCGTTCTTGACACGTGGGGATTATGGGATTACAATTCAAGATGAGATTCTGGATGGGGACACAGCCAAACCATGTCAGAATCTATAGACAGTATATAAATGAAGGAGCATGGTTGTGTTCCCATAAGGACGTGAAGCAGCATACTATCCTACGCTGCAGATGGGAGTGTAAATTGGTATAATTTGGAAAATTTGTTTAGTGTTAACTGCCAAAATGGAGCATATGCTTACCCTATGACTCAGCATTTCCACTCCTAGAATGTATGCAACTAAAATGAGTACACCAAAGACTTGCACAAGAGTGTTCATAATAGCATTATCCACGATAGCCTAAACTGCCATGTACTCAAATGTCTATCAACAGAAGGAGTAATTTATGTTGTATTCATATAGTGGATTATATACAACAAAGAATTATAGCAGCATGCAATATGGATGTATCTCAGACATTATTTGCAAGAAAGCCAGACACAGAATATATACTCAAAAACATGCAAAACTTATCTGTGCAATTAGAAATCCTCCCTTTGGGGATGAAGGAGAGCAGAGATTGGGAGAAGCACAGGGAGGCTACTAATGTGCTATAAATATTTCCTGACCTTGTGGTGGTGATTATACACAGATGTCCCTTTTGTGTTAATTCATAGAGCTGTACACTTGATTTGTAGAGCATGCTGTGTTGTTATACTTTGAAAAGCTAATTGGAACCTTACATGTGGTATGTTGGGTGGTATCTTGTCAAACACTGGACTTCATTATAAGGTGATAGGTTCATTCATTCCCTCCCTCCCTCCTTCCTTCCGTCTTTCCTTCCTTCTTCCTTTCCTTTCCTCCCTTCCTCCCTTACTTCCTCCCTTCTTCCTCCCCTCCTCCCTTCTTCCTCCCTTCCCCTCCCTTTTCTTCCCTTCCCTCCCCTTCCTTCCTTTCCTCCTTTCCTCCTCCTCTCCTCTCTCCTTTCCTTCCTTTCCTTCAGTTCCCTCTCTCCTGTCTTTCCTTTCTTTTTTTTTTTTTGCCTGAGACAGGGTCTTGCTCTAGCACCGAGGCTGGAGTGCAGTGGCATGATCTTGGCTTACTGCAGCCTCCACCTCCCAGGTTCAAGCGATTCTCCTGCCTCAGTCTCCCAGGTAACTGGGATTACAGTTGCATGCCACCACACCGGGCTAATTTTTGTATTTATAGTAGAGATGGGATTTCATCATGTTGGCCAGGCTGGTCTCGAACTCCTGACCTCAAGTGATCTGCCTGTCTGGGCCTCCCAAAGTTCTGGGATTACTGGCGTGAGCCACCGTGCCCAACCTAAACCAACTTTTTCATTGGGTACACCAAGATTACAGCTTTAATGGAAGAATTTCAGAAATTGCAGTGATGAGATGCCTCTTTTCTTCTCTCTTCTTTCTTCTTCCATTCTTTTAGGTCACTTAATGACCTTTTTCTTGGGTCAGGTCTTCAAGAGAGGAATCTACAATTTCCTGTGGATGCAGGGGTCTTATTCACTATGGCCATTTTCAGTGGTGTATCTTTTCTCTCTTGACTCCTGTGCCTCATGTACCAATGTCTAGAGCTTTTCTTTGCTCAGTATCTCTTCAGAATGATCCCCCATACATGTGTCTTCTGAAATGGCTGAATGAGGAGCTTGGCAAATCCTCATCCTTAAAAATTCACAATTAAGTCAGGCATGGTGGCTCATGCCTGTCATCCCAGTGACTTCTTGGGAGGCTGAGGTGGGAGGATCACTTGAGGCCAGGAGTTCAAGGCCAGTATAGGAACATCGTAAGACTCCATCTCCACAAGAAAAAAAATTTTTTTTTTTTTTTTGAGATGGAGTCTCACTCTGTCGCCCAGGCTGGAGTACAGTGGCTAGATCTCAGCTCACTGCAAGCTCCACTTCCCATGTTCACGCCATTCTCCTGCCTCAGCCTCCCGAATAGCAGCGACTACAGGTGCCCGCCACCTTGCCCAGCTAGTTTTTTGTATTTTTTTAGTAGAGACGGGGTTTCACCGTGTTAACCAGGATGGTCTCGATCTCCTGACCTCGTGATCCACCCGTCTCGGCCTCCCAAAGTGCTGGGATTACAGGCGTGAGTCACTGCTCCCGGCTAGTGCTTTTTTAAATTGTCGAATTTAACCTTTGATATTCCTATGGAACTAGACAGGAAAAAATACCAGTTTGTGTTACCCGGTAATTCTTATCAAACATGGCCTGTTTTCAAATTGATAAAAGGAAATAAAGACCTTGAATAGAATTACTACATCTAGATGGTTAGATTATATATTTTAAAGGAAACTTGGAAAGTTAAATTGCTGACTGTCATAGGTGCTAAATGGGTGCTTGACTAAAGCATTGAAATAGGTTCGCCTAAATGATTCTTAAAGTTTGTGTTTAAGATGAGCAAATTTCAATAATTTAAATAATTAAACTTTTACTATTTTTGAGTGATAATTTTTTCAGACCAAACAATTTAAATAAAATAGCCACATATTCCCGGGAGGAATAGGATTACAGGCGTGTGCCACCACAGCTGGCTAATTTTTGTGTTTTTAGTAGAGACAACATTTCACCATGTTGGTCAGGCTGGTCTCAAACTCCTGACCTCATGAACCAACCACCTTGGCCTCCCAAAGTGCTGGGATTACAGGCTTGAGCCACCGCGCCCGGCCAGAAAAATTTTTTTTTTAATTAACTGTTCATTGTAGTGTGTCCTAGCTACTTGAGAAGCTGAGGTGGGAGGATTGCTTGAGCCTAGGAGGTTGAAGCTGCAGTGAGCTATGATCACAACATTGTACTCCAGCCTGGGTGATAGAGCAAGACCCTGTCCCAGACACACACACACACACACACAACACACACACAAAAGAAAAATATTACAGCTTTAATGGAAGAATTTCAGAAATTGCAGTGATGAGATGCCTCTTTCTTTTCTTCTCTCTTCTTTCTTCTTCCATTCTTTTAGGTCACTTAATGACTTTTTTTTTTTTTTTAATTTGAAACGCGGTCTCACTGTCACCCAGACTGGAGTGCAGTGGTACGATCTCAGCTCACTGCAACCTCTGCCTCCCGAGTTCAAATGATTCTCCTGCCTCAGCCTCCTGAGTAGCTGGGATTACAGGCGTGTGCCACCACAGCTGGCTAATTTTTGTGTTTTTAGTAGAGACAACATTTCACCATGTTGGTCAGGCTGGTCTCAAACTCCTGACCTCATGAACCAACCACCTTGGCCTCCCAAAGTGCTGGGATTACAGGCGTGAGTCACTGCTCCCGGCTAGTGCTTTTTTAAATTGTCGAATTTAACCTTTGATATTCCTATGGAACTAGACAGGAAAAAATACCAGTTTGTGTTACCCGGTAATTCTTATCAAACATGGCCTGTTTTCAAATTGATAAAAGGAAATAAAGACCTTGAATAGAATTACTACATCTAGATGGTTAGATTATATATTTTAAAGGAAACTTGGAAAGTTAAATTGCTGACTGTCATAGGTGCTAAATGGGTGCTTGACTAAAGCATTGAAATAGGTTCGCCTAAATGATTCTTAAAGTTTGTGTTTAAGATGAGCAAATTTCAATAATTTAAATAATTAAACTTTTACTATTTTTGAGTGATAATTTTTTCAGACCAAACAATTTAAATAAAATAGCCACATATTCCCGGGAGGAATAGAGATGGATTGGGAGACCATTATTTCACTTTAAAGAAATTGGCAGTCCAGAAAATTTTATGAACAGATTTCTCCAACCTAGTGTGAGAAAAAGTTACAGTCTTGAGCATAGTAATTGTCAGATGTTCTCTAGCAGTTCCCAAAATGTGTTATTGGCAAAAGTCAGCATAGAAACATGGCTCTTATTGCCTAAGTGCGTGGGCTGCCTAAGGAGGTACGTTACAGTAGTAGCCATGAAGTTGACTTTAGGCTGTACCCTTGTCAGGACATACTTAAAGGGTTGGATGTGGTACTGCCAGCCTCCCAGTAACAGTGTTCTCTGCTTTCCTGTAGAGTGGATCAATCTCAGAGATGGGCCCATCACCATATCTGACTCCTCAGATGAGGAAGGGATTCCAATGCTGGTCACCCCAGCTGCTCAGCAGCATGAAGAAGAGGACCTGGATGATGATGTCATCCTGACAGAAGTGAGTTTTCTTTAAACTTACATTGAGACATTATTGCAAGTTGGTGATCTAAGTATTCAGCCACTCTTGTGGGCCTTGTTGTGGAACAGCTGAGAGCACCTCTTGTACTCGTTCTGAGAACCTCTTTTCCATTCTACCTCAGGTACCCTTAGATTTAGAAGCTGTATGTTTCAGTCTGCTTCTGGATTGAGTATCTGCACTGTTGTTCCATTTGACTATTAATGCACCAGATTGCACTGTTGTCATTGCTACAACATTATGGTGTATCTTACTGTTGGATTGGCCTTATTCTCTCCATATTATCCCACATTTTTCAGAATCATCCTGGATATTCTCGCACTTAAATTTTTATATGGAGTTTACAATCAACTTTTAAAATTCCAAAATATAAATATATATGTAATCAGTTTGCCTAATCCAAAACAAATCTTCCTGTTATATTTATAGAGCAATTTTTATGATCCTGCTCTTTCTAACCAAGAACAAATTTTGTCTTTTCATATAGTCAAGAGTTCTTTTATATTCCTCAGCCAGAAAGCATTTTGAATTTTTCTTAATATAGATCTTAAACATTTTTTGTTTTTCTTGGTTATTTTATATTTTCTGTTGCTTTTGTGAATGACATCTTTTCTTTCATTGTACTTCTATTTTTTTGAGACGGAGTTTCGCTCTTTTGCCCAGACTGGAGTGCAGTGGCGTGATCTCGGCTCACTGCAGCATCCACCTTCTGATTTCAAGCAATTCTCCTGCCTCAGCCTCCCGAGTAGCTGGGATTACAGGTGCCTGCCACCACACCTGGCTAATTTTTGTATTTTTAGTAGAGACGAGTTTAACCATTTTGGCCAGGCTGATCTCGAACTCCTGACTTCGTGATCCGCCCCACCTCGGCCTCCCAAAGTGCTGGGATTATAGACATGAGCTACCGCGCCCGGCCCTTTCATTGTACTTTTAAACTGTGTTTTTTAAACTACAAGTCTGTTGCCTCTTTTTTTTTTTTTTTTTTTTTAGTTTAAAGATCCCAGTTGGCTTTATTGTGGTTCTAGAACCAAACAACACTTCCTTCCATAAAATTCAGTAGGTGTTCTGAGCTGAGCAAAAGCGGTTGGCTTTATAGACAGAGAAGGACTAAAGAGAGCAGAAGCAAAGTCCTTTCAAAGTTACTTCTCTTGTCAGGCTGGGACAAGGAGACAAAGAGAAAAATAACTGATTAGTTAACAGGCTGCTTCAGGCCACCTTTCCCATATAAGGATTAAAGCAGAGGGAAATTCATTATGATACCCATTGAAGATTTAAACTGCCCTGTTTAAGAAATTGGTTGTTCACTCTTTCTCTCGATTTCTAGGAAGGTCAAATGAACTTCCCAGGTTTGAGTTTGGTAACATGAAACTTACATGGATGATTCTGTTTTGAGTTTTAGTCTAGTCTTTTGGGGTCTAGTGCAGACACTTAGTCCAAAACAGTGACCTCCTATAATTTTTATTTAACAATTCCTCATTTTTTGTTAGGCTTTCACCCAGGGCCTGACCAAACCTTAAGGCATCATTGCCACTGTCAGTTACCATCATTTTGGGTTTCTAATCCCAGCATACACTTTATAGGTTCTGGTGTCCTCATTATCACACTTTTTTTTTTTTTGGTTTTTGTTCCAGCTGGAGAAAGACCATTTGGCATTTGACAGGTAGCTGTATGGAAACATTTAAAACTTTTTGAGGGGATACGGCACACCCAGGAGACTACTGTTATGACTGTAAGGAGGATAATACCAAGAGTTTGGGTGGAGTATGCTCCTCGGCTAGGGCCCCAACTAAAACCAAATGGTTAGACAAGGAATCTACCTTGTTTTAACCAAGTAGTCTGCTCTGCAATACCTGATGTGTTTATCTGTGTGCAACAGGAAGCGTCATCAACTGCACAGATTCTTCTCTGTAAAGTTAGTAGGTAATCTTGCATCCCATGACTGAGTTAAATTAAAGCAGGGAGTGCAAGTTACCTGCAGAGGCTACTGATGGCGAAATTTTAACTACAGCGTTGTCCTGCCTGCCACATAAGAGTTAGGCGTAAGTAAGGAAAAATTAAGGAGGGTAAGAGTCTTACTATGAGAGGGAATCTTGCTCCGATGTGGTTTGCAGTTGTGAATGTCTCTGATTGTGGCATTGGCCATCCTAGTGGACTCTGTGTGGCCCATGCATTAGGCGTGAGACTTATTCCTTGCAATTTACATCGATTTGTCCAGCTTTAGTTTATAGGGCTTCAGGAACTGAGCAATTCTCCTTCATTGGATAGTCGTAGTCAGATGTTAGAGAAAACTAAAAGAATTCAGAATTCAGTGCAATGTACAGGTAGATAATAAAAACTCAATAAACAGGGCTACAATCTAAATAACAGGCATACTGGAGTTTTCTTTTGAAATGTAATTTTTCTCTCTACAGTCACTCCCATTTCTACCAAAGATAATCACAGTAAGACCAATTTGCCTGACTAACCACGTATTTGAAAGCACATATTTAAATTTCCTTTGCTGGAAATTTTGACAAGGAATCTCAAATTGGTCTATAAAAAATGTCTCTGCTAGGAAGCGAAACCAGGACAGACATTAGTCTTTGCCTGCTGTATCCAACATCTGGAGGTTCCTGAGCCTGCCAGGAAGAGACAGATTTACTCACTGTAAGGCAGGGAACGCTTAAAGCCAGGCATTGTTTGCACATATTGAAATGTGGCATTCCATTCAAAGCCTTGGTAACATAACCAGTTTCCAGTTGTGTCCTTTTATTAAAAGGAAAGATTCTTATTGAACTTATGCAAATAATGATATTGCCATAAAAATAAGAATACTCATGAATAGTTTGCAAATTCTGGAGGGAACCTGTTGGGAGGAAAAGCAAATATTTTCATTTTTATTATAAAAGTATACTTTACCAAATTGCGATAAGCTATAAAAACCTTAAAAGAAAAAAGTTTCCTTAAATCTGGCAAACAAAACATTAAAAGAACCAGCAGTGTTTCAAATAAAGAAGCCATAAAAACCCATGATTCTTCTTTAATCAATTCAGTCTCATGTAATTAATTCTTGCTGTTTGATCTTGGTTAGCAGTTACACAAATTCATTAGTTTCTTCATTAGAATTTTGAATATTTAGTCCAATAGTGTGAACTCAAACCTGTATTTGTCAGCATTCATTTCATTTTTCGCATATACATCTTTGAAGACACAGCACTTACGGATTATAATTGCTTGCAGAGAGCTTTCAGAAAATGTCAGAACAAAATAACTATGGACAGCAAGACTTAAAATGGTTGCGGTTAAAAACCTGATGAGAGTTCATTATAGTGACACAGTTGACAAGGAAATTTAGTTATTTCTAAACCAAAATTATGACTGATAGCATATATACCAAGACATATCAGATTTCTAAGAGCTTTATATAATCTTGGAATATAAAAAACATCCATATAGACCCGGCGCGGTGGATCACTTGAGGTCAGGAGTTCGAGACCAGCCTGGCCAACATAGTGAAACCTCGTCTCACTAAAAATACAAAAATTAGCGAGGCATGGTAGCACATTGCCTGTAATTCCAGCTACTCAGGAGGCTGAGGCAGTAGAATCACTTGAACCCAGGAGATGGAGGTTGCAGTGAGCCAAAATCGTGCCACTGCACTCCAGCCTGTATGACAGAGGGAGACCCCGTCTCAAAAAAAAAAAAATACTTGGGCATTTTTGCTGATCAGAAGACACACAGCTGTTTTCCAAATGGTCTTTCTTACCAAAAATATCCAAGTCGTGTGAACTAAAAGGCATTGGAGTTGGGTCCTGTTTTTCTGATAAAAGATTGAAGTGCTTACTTTTTCCTTAAACCAATTATTAGAGTTCTCTGATATATTTTGGTAGAGAAATACCACACACACATAACACATATATAGACACAGAGAGACAGAGAAGCAGATCTTACAACCTTCATTAAGATTCTTTATTTGCCAGTTTTCAAATACAGTTTACACTTGAACAACATAGTGGTTAGGGGTGCCAACCCCTGTGCAATTTAAAATCTGCATATAACTTTTGACTCCCCAAAAACTTAAGTACTAATAGCATGCTGTTGACCAAAGCCTTAACTGCTTAATACTACTTAATAACTACTTAACTACTAATAGCATACTATTGACCAATAACATGGTTGATTAACATGCTTAATCATGATATACTAACTAGTATATTATGTGTGTGTATATATATGTGTGTGTGTGTGTATATATATATAATATACTGCATTCTTAAAGTAAGCTGAGGAAAGGTTAAGAAAGTCATAAACTGGGCAGGGTGGCTCACGCCTGTAATCCCAGCACTTTGGGAGGCTGAGGCCAAGAGTTCAAGACTCATGAGGTCAGGAGTTCAAGACCAGCCTGGACAAGATGATGAAACCCTGTTTCTACTAAAAATACAAAAATTAGCCAGCATGGTAGTGGGCACCTTTAATCCCAGCTACTTGGGAGGCTGAGGCAGAGAATTGCTTGAACCCGAGAGGCAGAGGTTGCAGTGAGCCAAGATCAGGCCACTGCACTCCAGCTTGGGTGGCAACAGAGCGAGACTCTGTCTCAAAAAAAAAAAAAAAACAAGAAAATCCTAAGGAAAATATATTTACTGTTCATTAAGTGGCAGTGGATCATTATAAAGGTCTTTATCTGTGTGGTCTTCACACTGAGTTGGCTAGGGAAGATACTGGGTGTTGCAAGTGAAGAAAATCCACGTATAAGTGGACCCTGTTAGTTCAAACCATGTCATTTAAGAGTCAACATAGTTTCCATCCCCTCTTTAGACCATCAGTCCTTCAATCACCTGTTACAGTGCCCCCAAGCAATTGCTAACCTGGCACCTCTCAGTTGGCACTTCCACAGAGGTGACTCCCAGATGAAAAAAGGTAGACATTTTACAAATCTTAGATCTAAACACTATACTAATTTGTCCAAACAAAAAAAGGCAAAGGTAAAGGCCCAGTTAAGACTA